GGAGCAAAGTACAACCGTAGCTGGAGGGGCCTACTCCTCAAACACCAACCAGAAGCATCCTAATCTCATCCTGCCTCCATGCCACTGACCAGTGGAGGGAGCATGGTGAAAATCTTCTGCCATACTCACTGCTCAATGCATTAATTAATACCAGACATTAAAGTAAACTGGGATGTCTCCTGGCAGCAAGACATTCTCTCTGCTGCAGAACTTGCCTTTAAAACCAGTTTTTACTGCCTTCAGAAAAGCAGGAGACTTGGAGGTGAGAGCTCTTGGAGCTGAGGGAAGGACTCCAGCCCAGCTCACCTGACTCCTGAGGCTTTTCCCTCTCTCTCTGACTTACAGGCTGCTCACCAAAAGATCCTGAAAAATATCCTGTTGAGCACCTGATGAGGTACCAGGGGAGCAATGCCCTCCATGGGTGCTGCACAGGAAGTTCTGTAGCTCTGGGGGCAACAGACCTGCTTGCCACGCTGAAAACGTGCAAGTGAGAGAGATTCCCACTCACCTCCTCCGCTCTGAAGCCAGGGGGCTTTGCCTCCTCTGACTGCCCAGACTCCTCCGTCTCTGCTGAGCTCTGAGGCCCTGCAGCAGTGGATGGTGGCACCTGGAAGACAAGGCACTTTCCATTCCAGGACACAGCCACCTTGCCAAGTCTCACTCTATAAAAGCCAGCTCTGGGGCTGTCACTGCAATGCTGGCACTTGGGTGAAGGCAGAGACCTGAAACCGGGTGGTCTAGCTGGGTTGGGAAGGGCATACATGGAGATCAGGATTTGACACGGCTTGCTACAGGAGGGAAACTGGAAGCCTTCTCATCATGATGCAGAAAAGCCTCATTTTACATTGTAAGGAAAATAAACCAAAAAAAATCCCAAACTCAGCATAGGTCTGTAGGATCTGAGTGGGCTTCTCCAAGGAAAAGTATCCTATTTCTCCCTCCCCAGACGCCCCATGTCCAGCCACTGGCCCTGCTGCCCAGCCCACTCTCAGGGCACAGAACAGCAGGGCAGCAAAAGGGGAGGTCGGCACGAGCACGGCTTTTTGGTGGCAAGCTGGGGGAGGCAACACAAGTGGCAGGTGCACAAGAAAACCCACCTTTGCTTCCGGGGAGTCTTCTGAATGAGATGACTTCTGGGAAGAGTCCTGCTTTCTTTCCGGGGACTTCTCTGGTGATGACTGTTCAGGAGAATCGTCCTCTGTGTCCAGGGAGTCCTCTGAATCTGATGACTCTTCAGAAGAATCCTGGTCTGTTTCCACACAGTTCTCTGACTCTGATGACTGTAGGGAAGAATCTTGCCCTGATTCCAAGGAGTACTCTGAATCTGATGACTCTTCAGAAGAATCCTCTTCTGTTTCCACGCAGTTCTTTGATATCTTTTGGGAAGAACCCTCTTCTGTTTCCTGGCAGTGTGCTGACTGTGGGGAAGAGTCCTGCGCTGCTTCCGGGGCTTTGGCTGGCTTCTGCACACTGCCAGGCCTGAAGTACCTCCTTGAATACCGCCCACACTCATCACAGCCGAACGTGAACATTTGTGGTTGGCGTTTGGAGGTAGGTGGGGAAGGTATGAACCTGGAAAATAACATAACTATGATCATGGACCTGCAGTGGGAGAGAGGGACACCTGCACGAGCAATTCCTCGTCAGGATGCAGCCCCTGGGTGGGTGCAGGTGAAGTGAGCTCAGAAAGGGGGTGTCTCAGAAAAGGAGAAGGAAGGGGAAGGTAACAAGATGTTCAGCATCAGCTCAGGTGCTAACTAGCTCTTTCTGTGGTGTGAATTGGGACTTTCTGGGCATCCTCCAGCACTTCCAGGCCAAGGCTGGGAATGCAGAGAAGGCAGCAAGGAGCAGAGAGCAGTTTCTCTGCTTGCAGAGAGGACCCATCCTATAGCAGAGAGGCCAAAGGGCTGGGAAAGTGCCTCCACCAGCACTGTGGAGCTGGGACTAGGAGCCCTTCACCAAGGTCGTCACTGCCTCAGGCCACAGAAGGCTGAGAAAGCAGATTTCCCCACCAGCTTTCCTTCCTAGAGGAAACCAGTAGGGGGGCTACAGCAGCACCAAACTCGTGGAAAACACCTATCCCTTGAGCATCCAGCCTGACCACAGCTGGTTGGTGTTATTTCCACAAGGGAAAGTCAAAAGGAAAACAGCTTTGGTCTTTGCAAAGTACAAACAGGACATCTGGAAAAAGAGCTTCCAGGAGGGGGCAAAGGTGCACATACCCTGTTGGGTACTTCCTGCTGTCCACCTGGAATGACCAGTGGTAGTGGGCAGGAATGGGGCTGCAGTTGGTCATCTCCAGGTAACGCACGTCCTCTGAGCCACTCACGATGCAACCGAAGTCGAATGCTTTGGTCCGGATACGGAGATTCGGGAAGTAGACCTCTCCCCGAACGGTGATCTCTTCCTCGTAAGGATGTTCCACAAGCCGGATCTTCATAGTCTTCTCTGCTACCCAGCTGATCGGATCCTTTTCATAAGCTGGGTTAAAGCTGATGTAGAGATGAAGTTCCTGCCCTGCCTCCATCTTCACAGGCTGCAAGGAGACAAGGAGTGTCAGTCACCCACACGATGAAGTCCCAAGGTCTGACAGCATGAAACCGCAAACACTCAAAGTGTGACCCCAGCACAGGCTTCCCAGTCCACCCTTCAGTTCTTTACAGGGGAGGGTCTGACTGCAAGCACCACACTCCGGTGGGGGACTCTCAGGCTCCTGTTTCTGTGCTTAGCAGCAATACAAGAGGATGGCTGCTGGAGAGCTGGGGTGCTCTCCAGGAGACACCTCTGCTGCATGGCTTGCCCACACCTGGCTGCCTGCTCCCTTCTCCTTGTATCTTAGAGCCAGGAGGGATCTTTCCAATTCAGATGAGTTCTTGCTTCCTTCAGCAGCTCTGCTGACTCAGTTCACAGTTCAGGCCAGTCCACTGCTGACTCTATGGAATAAACTTCTCGACTCGAGGACCTCCCAACAGAAGGGCACCACCACAGCCCTCCCTCTTCAAAGCCCACTGGCAGGAGGGTCCTTGGCTGCTCACCTGGGCCC